CTGCAGAAGATGGCTGAGGATGGCCCACTTAAAACAGGCCCCACTGAAATTAATTAAGATCAAATGAAGCATTAAATGGTCTTCATTTGTAGCTCAGACTATATGACTGGGCAAGGCAAAGACAGAATTCTGTAAATGGAATTCCCTCCCCAATAAAAGTAGTCTTAAATTTTTTGCAGGGGGAACAAAATGTATGTCTGGCTAGAAAAGAATGGGATCTAGTAGGAAGGGTCAGTTTAATTTACTACCCAAAAGGAAAAAAGAAAAGAAAAAGTAAGAAATTTCAAATGCTTAGCAGAGAATGGTCATTTTTTCTTATTTCATGAGCTTAAAAGTTAAAATTAACACATAGAACCTAATTCCAAGATAGCCTTCATCTTTAAGACCTGAATTTCTTTTATAGGCCTGAGATATAAGATCTATTACTATTCTTTCCTCTCCAAAATACTAGTCTTCTTTTATCCAATTGTCAGCCCCAGGCAGCTCTCACAAATGTATATGTAAAAGTTAGGTACAGAGCAGGAAAGCAGCAGCAGAAGTAGGATGGGTGCTAAGAGATGACATCTCTTCCAGTTGTAGCTGGAAATTGTTTCCACACAGGCAACAGAGACACACATCAGTTTGGGAACTGACAATTTTATAATATCTAAGGCTAACAACACAAATTTTAAAAAAGGATAATATTCCTAGGACAGACAAGCTCAGGGGATGAACATCTTACAGCCAGAACTTTATCCAAGGGTGGGAACAACTAAGTATAGGTCTGTTAGACAGAATGCTAGTTTTAATGCTTTCAGGCAGTGGTTTTCAAACCACCTCCAAACTCCAGAGGGATCCTGAGAGGTGCTTCAGGAGCGGCCACTGGAGGTGAGGGGGAGGAAAAGCAGGCAGAGCTGGCACTGCCTCATCCTCCTCAACCTTCGAAAGCTTGAAACCATCCATCAACCATCCATCGTATGTATCTGACTAAAGGCGGAAGAACTTAGGGAGAGGAGAATTAAAAAGAATCTATTTCTGAACTGATGTGTTTTGGAACACTGATCTTACAAGACGATTATTAACACACAAAAAATGTATATGCAAATAGGGGTTAGAAAAGAAAATACAGTAGAGCCCAGCATAGCTTTCACAAAAGAGTGAAAGCAAACGCAGCTGGAGACGGTTCTTTCCTCACCTCTATCTTCAAAGGCCACCAAATCTATTCAGCTTATCTTACCACCAGCTTCTCTAGAGGATGGTGGAATGAACTGATAAAGAAAACTCAATTTGAGGGCAGAAATATAGAACAAAGTAGGCATTTAGGTTCTGGAAAAGTACTTTTTGCATAAATACATGATTTGGTATTAGGCCCAGAAAATAGAAACATTGTATTGGAAACATGTGTACCTAAAATGGAAGGACCCCATCCTGAATAGAGTATGGCATTCTACTTGACTAACCTTATACCTGAAAATAATATAAACGCAATACAATCATTTTCCATCAAGGTGTGCTTCACTTCATATCATAGATAGTCTTAGACTTATAAGTCAAACTTTGGTATATTAATATATATTTCAAAGGTGAAAAAAATGCTCACATTACAAAAGTTTTCTTAAATAATTAATCATCCCCTAGTTTATATATTGCATAAATTTGCATTTTGTGTATCACATTGGGCCTGTCTTTTAAGTAACAAATCTATAGTAACAGTAGCCTTGAATAACTTCTCTACAAGTTTTATAACTGCTATTTACTAAATGTTTGGCTAAAATAAAGAGGTCAGCCTGAGTCTCAGTTTCTTCCCCCTTTAAATGCAAATAATACAACCTACATTCAATGAGCATCGGTTATATGCTAGGGCCTGAAGTAGGTGTCTTATATACCATTTCATTTTGCCCTTAAAGTAACCTAATGAAGTAGGAATTATTATCCTCATTTAACTGAGAAAGAAATGGAAATTTAGAGAAGTTAAATAATTTGCTTAAAATCATTCAGCTAATGACTGGCTGAGTTGAGATTTGAACTCAGGCTTGATGTCAAAGCCAGAATCTCAAATATTATATCATATTGTCTCTCATATCACATAAATATTTGCGCATGTACTTGCTATACCTATTCTCACAGGATTGTTGCAATGAGTAAATGAATCAAGGTATGTGTTTATCATTATAAATTAAAACATTATCCAAATGTAAGGGGATGTTTTACCTTCAAGTGGTTCTTGGAGAACATATGCATTTAATTGAACTTCATTCTTAGGCAGAGTCATCTGGACACTCTCTCCAGCAGATACCACCAGTTCCTTTATAACTGGAAACGAAGAAAATATGCAAGAGTTAAAGAATTAAATCCAAACTATCTCATTTCTCTCCTTCCTTTTGTGGCCAAATTTCTTTTATTAACAATATTCAGCTACTGCCTTCATTTCCTCGTTACTTATCTATTCTAATTCCCTGAAGTTTGATCCTGTCCTCACTTTTCCACTGAAAAGAACCTTTTGAGGTCATTAACAAACTGCTGCTTAGCAAATCGAATAACTGTTTCTCTGCCCTCATACTTCCCTCTGTGGCATCTAATACTGCTAAATGCCTCCATCTCAAAACTCTTGGTTATCATAACACCATATTATTCTACTTTTCTTCCTTTCTGACTTTTTCTCCACTGTATTTTAACTACTGTTGATCCTTAAGCCTTTTTTATACAGTACTTTCCACAGAGCTCAATAAACAGAGTTCAACTGTTTCAAGGATCATCTTTATGCTGATAAATAACTTTCTAATAAAAAACAGACATAAAGTTCCTAGAAGAAAAGGCAAGTGTTGATCACAAGGCCAGTGTTAATTTCTTTCTATTCCAGTTGTTACAACCATAGACTTACATTATTCCAAGGATCTTGTTCTTCCATCTGCTAGCTCTCCCCACTCTAATCCATTCTGTCTTCCTAAAACACCCACCATCATTAGTTTTTCTAAAATCCTCGCCCACCATGTTACTCTCCTACTCAAGACACCCCCGCCACACACACACACCATGTTTAAGGCCAAACTCCTCACCTTGTATGAGAGAACTATTATCATTTGATCATACCATCTCGCCCTTCCTACCCAATTCTGCCTCTAGTTTTATTAATTTTTCCTCTTGTGTTCCACAGAAGCCATGGTCTACTCCTGGGGACTTTGCTAAAGCTATTTCTCCAATTGGGGTGTGTGCTTTTTTTATTCTAAATACAATACTTTGTTTCTAGCTCATAGCCAGTCTTCTCTCCAAGAAATCTTCCCAGATCATTTCCATTCAAACTGACCTACTTCTTGAACTACTTTAGCTTTTTTTGGAATACCACATTAGCTAATAGCTATATACTGTCTATATACTATTCATCAGCGAGTTCATACATGTTAGGGTTTCTCAACCTTGGCACTTTGGAACAGATAATTCTTTGTTGTCGGGGAAATTGTCCTGTGTTCTCTAAGATGTTTAGCAGTATCCCTGGCCTCTACCCACTAGATGTCAGTAGAACCCCTCCTCCTTAGTTATAACAACGAAAAATGTTTGCAGGTTGTTGAGAATCACTGATTATATAAACCCTTTCTCTGACAATAATTGTTCATTTGTTATGAGACCTAGAAACTACAGAGCTTAAAGCAAACAACTGCCTGGTCCACCCATATTTCAAGACTAGGAGGTGAGATGGGCTTCCTAGACAAATATGAAATTTGAGATTTACCTGTCTGCTTGGGACACTGTACTTGGGGAGAAATAAAAACATCCATTATGGAAGCTTTACCATTTAGAAACCCCAGGAGGTGAAATAAGAATTCTCTGAAGTGACTTTCAAAAAAAGGAAGGAGGAGGAAAAGAAGAAAGAAACCGCTACACTCAGGTAAAGTATAATGGACAAAAATACAGTGCAACTCAAACCCTTCATGATTACACCAAAAATTACAGGCATTCTGAATTTTTTTAAAAAATTACTTTAGTGGCATAGGATTGAAACCCTAAAATTTCATGTTATATTACCACCAAATGAGGCCCTAGGAAATTAAAACTTGGCAAAAATCATTTTCAGTGTCTTTTCTTCACCCTGTTGAGTTTTCCAGGGAATGAAGATCAACTTAGTTTCCTTGATTAATCATTTCCTCCTAATACCTTAGAATGGCACTCATGAAACATAGACTTAAGGCAACATTCTATGTATAAATCTTTCTATGGGTTGCTTTAAAAACTAAAGATGCTGTCAAAATCAGAGAGACAAATATCTGATCTACAACCAGCTGTTCAGAAGGCAAACAGGTGCACAGATCCAACTCTTTCTTCCCAGTGGCCTCTGTTTGCTTGATTCCTTGAACATCGCTTAATTGAATCTTGTGCCCTTAAGTCCCAGTGGTATCTGGCTTGGGGGAAATGAGCTTCATAAATTTCCATAGGCTCGGGCCTGTTGAGAAAAGGATCGAGAGCCCCAAATCCTATGATTACAGGGACACAAATAGGATTATTTTTTCTCTTAACCTACAGTATTAAAAGTCATGCCTCCCTCCTTTCTTTCCATTAAAAGGGAACACTTTGATTAAATGTTCTACTTTCCCATCCTATCTCCATGGGCAGAAGCAAAGGGCCTCACCTGGGAATGGTGCTGAAGTGCTCTGGAAAGAGGCCTGGGGGGTGGGGGTAGCATAACTGTTGGAGGGAGCCACTGGCAGAGGGGCAGCAACCTGGATTTTCCCAGGGTTTTTTACTTGCTGAGTGCTAGGCGTAGTACCCAGATCCTCTGACACCTCAGGTTGGACTGATACATTCTTTGACCAAACAGCAGTTTCCTCAGTCAGATTTGTGGTTAGAGGATTGGAAATTGTGACTTCCTTGTGGACCTAAAGAAATGCAAAAATTCAATTAAGTAGACAAAAGTTATAAAGCCAGTTTTTTAGGTTATATCACATGAAATAATTGCATATTAAATGTTTTAACGCAAAACTGTCAAAAATGTGAAAGAAACTAATCTTACTACTCAAACTGGTATTATGTTGATATAAATCTTCCCAGTCTTTCTTTCTATGCCGACAGTTCTGCTTAAAATAGTAACAATCTCAACATTTATATTCAATTCTTCTTACAAATACTTATTAAGCACCTATTACAGAATAAGCCTTCTGGATCAAAAAAAAAAAAAAGCCAACCATAATCACTGTGCTCAACAAGTGTACAATCTAGTGGCGGGGAGAGAATTTAAAACATAATAAGCCAAAAATGGTAGAAATAACTAGGAAAGTTATGATGAACCAAAGAAACCCTGAGAGTATTTAACTTCTTTCTCTTGGAGAAAGGGTGCATGTGAAGGATAGTTTAAATAAAGGCTCTCTGAAGGAGGAAAGTCCAGAGCTGAGTTTTAAAGGGTAAACAGTTTACTAGACAAAGGGCTGAGGGGAGAGTTGAGTGTAGAAATGAGATTAACATGGCATGTGTTGGGAACTGAGAGTCATAAGCAAAGAGGCAGGAAATAATGAAAGATGAGCTGGAAAGACAGTCGATGGCCAGAGTAAAGAAGACAGTATACACTACTTTAAAGAACCAGGTAATGGTAAGCAATCAATGGTTGTATGCAAGGAAGTGACAAAGTCAGGTTTCTGCTTTAAATGGATAATTCAAGTTACTATCTAGTGTATGGGCTTGAAGAAGGAAGACAATAGCAGGAATACTGTTTAGGAGAGTACTGTATTCATCCAAACAAGAAATGATGAGTGGCTAAACAAAGTTGGTGATATGGGTTGGTTGGTTTGTTTTTAATCAACTTAATTGAAGTATAATTTACAAAAAATGAACTGCACACATTTAAAGTGTATAGGTCGATGAGTTTTGATAAGTATATACACCCACATAACTACAATTAAGAGAGAGAACATTTCTATTAGCCCCCAAAATTAGTTCATGCCCCTTTGCAGCAAATTCCTGCCTCCATCTTCAGGCTCAAGAAACTACTGATTTGTCTTCTGTCACCATTAGTTGGTTTGGGCTTTCTTCTATTTCATATAAAAGGATCTTATACATAATATTTTTGTTTCTGGCTGCTTTCACACAACATAATGTTTTAAAGATTCATCCATGATTCAGTAGTTCATTCTTTTTTATTACTGAGTAGTATACCATTATAGAGATATACCAAATTTTATTTATCCATTCATCATTGATAAGATATTTAAATTGTTTTCAGTTTTCTCAGCTCTTATAAAGCTGCTATATATGTTTGAATACAAATGTTTCTGTAAACATATATTTTCATTTATCTTGGGTAAATACTTAGAAGTATTTATTGTTAATTACATATAAGTGTATGCTTAACTTTATAAGAAACTATGAACTATTATCCAAAGTGGCTGTACCATTTTGCATTTCTACCAGCAATGTATGAGAGTTCCAGTTGCTCCACAACTTCACCAATACTTGGTTTTGTTTTTTTTTTTTACACCTACAGCACCCGGTATTCCTAAGTAGTCTCCCATCCAAGTACTAACCAGGCCCGACCCTGCTTAGCTCCCAAGATCAGATGATATCAGGCACGTTCAGGGTGGCATAGTCGTAGACAATACTTGGTATTCTTGATCTTTTTGTTTTTTGTTATTTGAATGGTATCTCACTGTGATTTAATTTGCATTTTTCTGATAACTAATGAGGCTGAATATCTTTTAATGTGTTTACTGGCCAGTCATATATTTTCTTTGGTTAAGTTTATTCACATCTTTGTTCATTTGTTTTACAATTTTATTAAAGTACAATCAATATACAATAAACTGAATATATTTAGTGTATAATTTGATAAATTTTGACATATGTGTACATCTATGAAACCATCACCACAATCAAGATGATGACTATATCCAACAGGTCCAAAGATTCCTCATGTTCCTTTGTAATCCCTTCTCCTCTCACCCCACTCACCAGGCAACTACTGCTCTGCTTCTTATCACTATAGTTTGCATTTCTTAGAATTTTATATAAAGGGAGTCACATGTACGTACTCTTTTTTGGTCTGGCTTCTTTCACTCAGCAAAATTATTCTGCTATTCATCCATGCTGCTGTTTGTATTAATAGGTCTTTCCTTATGATTGCTGGGTAGGTTTCTGTTGTATGACTATGCCACAATTTGTTTATTCATTCACCAACAGATGAGCACTGGGGTTGATTCCAGTTTGGGGCTATTACAAATTGAGCTGTTATAAATATTCCTCTACAAGTCTTTGTATGAACATATCCTTTCATTTCTCTTGGGTAAATATCTATGAGTAGTAGAATGCCTGGTCATATGGAAGATGTATCTTCAGGTTTTTAAAAAACTGCCAAACCATTTTCCAAAGTTGTTATGTCATTATATACCACCAGTGTGAACATTCGAGTTGTTCTACAACCTTGCAAGAATTTGTTGTATGAAGTCTTTTTAATTTTAGCCATTATTGAGGTGTGTAGCAGCCCCTTATTGTGGTTTTTAATTTGCATTTTTCTAATGATTAATGATGTTGACCATCTTTTCATGTACTTACTGGACATCTGTACAACTTCTTTGGTGGACAACTTCTTTGCTTTAGTATTAGTTTTCCAACTCAGTTATAAGAGCTCTTTATATAGTCTAGAAATAAGTCCTTCATTAAGTATTAAACTTGAAAATATGTTTTCCCAGTCTGTAGCTTGAATAGCAAAAGTCTGTCACTTTGGTGGGCTCCAGTTTATCAATTTTTTCTTTTATGTTTCATGCTTTCAGTGACTCATTCATTCATTCGTTCGGCAACAAGATCACAAAAAAATTATTCTCCAGCATTTTCTTCTACAAGTTTTATAGTTTTTGCTCTTAAATTTTAGGTCTATGATCCATTTTGAGCTAATATGTAAGGGTCAAGGTTCGCGTTTTTCCTTATCAATATCCAATTGTTCTAACATCATTATTAAAAACAGTATCCTTTCCCCCACTAAACTGCCTTAGAACATCAACTGACCATATTTGTGTTGAGTCTATTTCTGGACTCTGTTCTGTTTCATTGAATTAATCTATCTTTACACCAATACCACTGCTTTGATTACTGTAGCTTTACAGTAACTCTTAAAGTTAAACAGTTTAGGTCTTCCAAATTTGTTGTTCATTTTCAAAATTGTTTTGATTATTCTAAGTCCTAATCCATGAACATGGCTGTATTAGTTTCCTACGGCTGCCATAAAAAATTACCAGAAACTTAGTAACTTAAAACAACAGAAATTTATCCTCTCACAGTTCTATAGCCCAGAAATGCAAAATCAAGGTACTGGCACAGCCACATTCCTTCTTCAGGTGTTTGGGAAAAAGCCTTCTTTGCCAGTTCCAGCTCCCAGAGGCTCTTGGCATTCCTTGGCTTGTGGCAACATAACTCTAGTCTTTGTCTCCATCTTCATATGGCCTTCTTTCTTGTGCCTTGGTGGGTCCAAATCTCCCTCTTCTTTTTCTTGTAAAGACACCAGGCATTGAATTTAGGGCCCACCCTAAATAAGGATGATTTCATCTTAAGATCCTTAACTAACTATACCTGCAAAGATCTTATTCCTAAATAAGGTCTTACACTGAGGTTCCAGGTGGACATCATAGTGGGTGGGGGGGCACCATTCAACCCATTACAATGGTATCTTTCTCCATTTATTTAGTTCTTTATTTGCTCTCAGCAATGTTTTAGAGTTTTCTATATATAGCTCTTACACATATTTGGTTAAATTTATCCCAAAGTACCTGAATATAAGACCTGAAACAATAAAATGCATAGAAGAAAACATAGGAACTAAACTCAAGGACCTTGGACTTAAAGAGGATTTTATGAATTTGACCCCAAAGGCAAGGGAAGTAAAAGCAAAAATAAATGAATGGGACTACACCAAACTAAAAAGCTTCTGCTCAGCAAAAGAAACTGTCAATAAGGTAAAGAGACAACCATCCGAATGGGAAAATACATTTGCAAGCAATGTCTCCAATAAGGGCCTAATATCCAAATTATAAAAGAACTCATACAACTCGATAACGACAACAAAAAAAACAAATGATCCCATCAAAAAATGAGCAGACCTGAACAGACACTTCTCCCTAGAGGACATACAAATGGCCAACAAATATATGAAAAGATGCTCAACATCACTAGCTATTAAGGAAACGAAAATCAAAACCACAATCAGATATCATCTCACACCTGTTAGAATAGCTATAATCAACAGGACAAGTAATAACAAATGTTGGACAGGACGCGGAGAAAAAGGAACCTTCACATACACTGCTGGTGGGACTGCAAATTGATACAGCCACTATGGAAAACAGTATGGAGGTCTCTCCAAAAACTAAGAATTGATCTACCATATGATCCAGCAATCTCTCTACTGGGTATTTACCCCAAAGACTTGAAAATCCATATCCAAAAAGGTATTTGCACACCGATGTTCATAGCAGCATTATCCACAGTGGCCGGGACATGGAAGCAACCAAAGTGTCCTACGATAGATGATTGTCGACAACATGGATGGAACTGGAGATAATATGTTAAGCGAAATAAGTCAGACAGAAAAAGTTGAAAATCACATGATATCACTAATATGTAAGATATAAACCTAAAAGCAACAAATGAACAGGACAATCAAAGAGACTCACGGACATGGACTATAGACTAGTGGTTACCAGAGAACTATAGACTAGTGGTTACTAGTGGGGTGGGGAGGAGCAGGGAGATAGATGGGGTAAAGGGGGTATAGGCGGATGGGGAGTGAAGTGGGTAAAGAGGATCAAATATACGGTAGCTGAAGGAAACTAGACTTTGGGTGGTAAACGTATAATAGAATATACAGAATTCAAATTATAATGTACACCTGAAAATTATA